ACAAAAGGCACTGTTTGTTCGCCTTCCATCAGGACAACAACCGTAAACATTCAAGCTACAGTCGAATGTGATGGATCAAAACTTATTTATTTGATAGCATAGGTCAGAACAATGTCCTATTGGGAATCTGTGGCAGAATGTGAATGCTGTCTGTTTTAACTGAGCTTGAGCTATTTTGCTACAAAAAATGTCAACATCTCAATGTTGGTGACTGATAGACATGCCTCAAAAGTCTTATTATATCAAATGCACACCACACTTTTTGAGTTTTATCACTGCAAGCATTTTCTTCCACCTAAGAGTCATGCACTTCTTTGACATGGTTTATCACATAAAATCCTGTCACTAAATACGCTGAAAATTAGGGTAAAAGGTGGAAAAGTAAAAATAATATTTCTGCTTTTGTGAGGTGGAGCAGCCACTGCTTTTTGTTTCCTCACTCCGGCAGCAGAGAGTAAAAACAATCGTCAAGGAGGAAGATTTTAAAGAAAAAGGAGGAGCAGTTTTCTGTTCATCTTGAAGTCATACTACCCAGCAGTTTCTGTTTCAGAACAGTGTATTGTTACTCCATTTTATCTGTCAGCTGATTTCTCTCTTTGCGACACACATTCTTTAGTTCAATTAGCCTCCAGTTTTCTGTGCTCTGCAGTTTGTTTTTTTGTTTGTTTTTTTTTTTTCTTTACTTGAATGTCAGGAATAAAACTGCCCAGTTAAGGAATAAAACAGGTCAGCTTCCTTCAACACTACAACTCTACAAAACAGGTTGGGGTTTTGTTTGCAGGCTGGTTTTATTTGTATGAATTTATTCCAGGCTCATTAAACAAAACGTTAAAAACCGTGCGACAGCGGGGATCATCATTTCATCTTCTATTATTCTTGGGCTCAACTGACCCCGATGTTGACTCCCTCTTTGAAACAATCCCAAAATCTAGGCCAACAGCTGGATAATAAGTCCTGCAGAGATTTGCTAATAAGTCTTCAGCACTCAAATCAATAATTGGCAATTGCTTCAGCTGAAGTGCACATCTAAGCCCTCTTTGTCACTCACTTGTATCTTCAGAGAAAGACGCACAAAAGGCAGCTGAGACGAGATCATTAACAGTCTTCCCAAATTGAAACAGTCATCAAGAGTGTCTTTAAATGTCTCCGGAAGCTTTTGGTTGAGTGCAAATGACATCTCGCTCATTTTGCTGGTGGCTACATGACTGATGTGTAGAATGAGACAGTCCCCATGCTTTTTTTTTTTTTTGATGCTTTTGAAGGATCCGGGGGTTTGAAGTATATGATTCTGAAGTGCCAGCATATGCTTAGCGAGATAAGTAATTTGACACACAGACATCACAGCCAGCAAAATCTTTCGTCTGACTGCCTCGAGTGTCCGTGCCGGGCGCTTTTTCAAGAACACTTTACAACTGTCACAACTGACTGTCAGCGTGCAAATGACACACGCAAACGAGCTCATTTTGAACACAGCGAGACAGCTGTCATATCAAAAAATATGAATCCGGCCTAAAAATACCATCAAGCAGATCTTGAGTGTTTTAGAAATTAATTTGCTATTTAGGAAGCAAAGATTTTTTTCCGTTTTAGTATTGGTTTGTTCATTAAAGTAATTTAATTAACTGCTCATCCTCCAGAGTGAAGCAGGATTAGAAGCAAGAATCATTGAAAGCAACACAGCAGCAAGAAGAAAGAATATCTTGCTGTTATTTCCCCTTTCTATCTCAAAGAGACACTTTTAACTGAGTCAGCCATCTTAAAAGTAAGTGGATGGCGTTTGATTTGATGAATATAAAATTCTGAATACTTGCTTACAGTCATGGAATAAAAATTAAGAAATTCTGCATTCTTTGTGAATGCTTAAAGCTGCAGTGTGCAACTTTTATGAATAATATGGTTTTTATAAATGTATTAAAACTGTCACTATGTTGTGAAGTTTAGCTCCTGTACCTTATCCTTACGGTCCTCCTAATATGAGCAGAACTCCCAGTCAGAAACAACCGATCAGAGCCAAGGAGATGGTCTTAGCGGTGTCAATCATGCTTGTATATCTGTTGCTTAGAGTACTAATGACAGTGACATGATGTACCGTTGTAGGAAAACGCTTTATCTGCCATCATTGGTGGCCTGGTTATTCACCGAAGTCTCCGATGTGGAAAGCCGCAGCCTTCAGAGCAAGGAGAGGCACAAGAGTAGCACAGGACCCTCCCTCTGCCTCTGATTGGTTGTTTCTGACTGATATTTCTGCAGGAAAGCTCAATGATTTTTGGAGTAATATTTTTGGGACAGTTTAAAACATATATTCTTTCTCCTTTCAGACACGAGGACAGAAGACATGTTTAACAAAAATGAAATGTAGCATTTCAAGAAAATAACTTTGTATCAATTGTACAGCACAGAGCTGGAAGTCCCATGGTTTGGGGATGCTGTGCTGCAGCAGCACATGGCCACTGGCCAGCTCCTCATTATAGAATCAACCATGAACTCTATACTGGTTTTAGAAAATGTGAGATTAGCTGTAAGAACAAATTATGGCAAAGTAGAACCGAACTCTGCATGTCTGTGATCTACGCATGGCTATTTATTAAATTGGTGGTATTCTGTGTTATGATAGAAAATATGTTTTTGTTGCCTGGAAAAACAAACAAACAAACAAAAAAACATTAGTTTGAGAGCTTTTTTCCTGGAAGAGCTGAATATCCACTACAGACTCCTAATTGTTTTATATAGCTGTACATGCAAGCAGATTCACATAGACACACACCGGGTGGGGATAAGGAGGGGTGGGGTGGCGGTGGGGGGGTCAGAGCTGCAAACAAAGTCGCTGACATTGTGGCACTTCTTTGGCAGCATTGTGCAGGTGTCGTCTGCACACACAGGCCCCTGAATAAATGGATCTGAAATGATTTACAGAGGGTGTCTGCCACCTGAGCACAGACACACGCATACACATATAACGCCACGGCTTCTGTTGTTCATGAGGAGGTGCTGATGCAGAGGTGTGCACAAATACCAGGGGGAAAAGGCGGAGCTGCATCTTTGGTGAAGTGAGATAAGGCTTGGCTTGATCCTGATTCCGATTTACTGTGGCTATTTGTTGTCAAACACAATGGAATAAGGGACTGATATAGCTTTCAAAATAGCCAGTCTCTTGGCTTTTACTTAGTTGCAATTTTCTACAAACATAACAAGTTAATGTGTCCACAATTACAAGTTTAAAACATGAAAGACACCATAAAGAAAGCACCAGGATACAGGACAATTCGCTTAAAAACATCTGGAGCAGCTGTTTTCATCTAAAGGTATTTTCTAATAATGCTTGAAAAAGAAATAGATGTAAACTATTTTAATGTTCTGGATCTATGTTAACATGGAGCCCACATTTAAAACTTAACACCAAATATTGGTGGCATCACCTCAGCCTGTTAGTTTAGATAGACAGCTATGTCCTGCTGGGTTTACAGCTGAGTTACTCAATTTTGTGATCAGGGTTTGAACTGTGCACCAGTTTTGACGTAAAGGCAAACTAAAACTCATAAGCTACTATAATATGCTGATGGTCACTGTTTCTACACATATCTGACTGATTCCCTCCTATCTCATTCACACACTCACACTCTGTCCTTTTAAAACCAGTCCTCCCCTTGCTTTTAACATGCTTGAGCACTTGTCAAGGGATGTTTATGTCAAGGGACTGATTACATCCCAAAGCCCTCTGATGGATAAGGTTCATTCATGCTGACGTCCACTGATATTGGTGTCCTTGACTGGTGAGGCAGATGCAATGATGGGAAAAACGATCAACAGGACAGACAATTTTACAGAAAATGAAACATCTTGTCACCTCAATGGAAATGTGCTTGATTTTTGCAGTGTCATCAAAGTATTTTCATCATGTTTGAGCTACTTTAGAAAGTATGAATTTAAATAATTATTTTGTGATAACTATAACTTTGTTGACATGGCCACCAAACTTAAAATGTGGATAAAACTGAACAGTTAGAGTCTCAAAGAAAAATCTGTCACACACCTTGATCACATGTCTCAAGTGTGTGAGGGTCAAGTCTCAAATCTTTAGTGCACAATTTAAATCAGAGGTCTATTAAATTTTTAACTTTAGCATGACTGATGTTAATCTCAAACTTAAGTCTCCATCTCTGGTGTTCCCAAATGAAATGTAAACTCAAAATGTCATTAATACATAAATTATTTCAGCAAACTGCTTTTATAAAGTCGCTTGCCAACAATAAAATTTATAAATTGTCTAACCCTTCACAGATATTATTTGAATATTGTAAGTGAAATAATAGTTCAATTTCTTCTATAAGTGAAATAGAGTTTCACTTATTAAATAATTTTAGCCTTAAAAATGGCTATCTTTAGTAGAGATGGAAATTAGTTTTATGATTGTTTTATATCATTAGCAAAATCACACCACAAACAACCCAATCCAAACCATGTGGGGATAACATTCCTGGTCCTCACTCTGCAGGTCACAAACAAATGTTTGTCTATTCCCAGACTGATCAGGATGTTGCAAATAAGACGCTGCTCTAAATGTTAAGGCTGATTAGAACATTTCCTTAGAGATGTGATATCACTATATTAATGTTCCCCAGCTAAAGGATTTCAACCTAAGCGGCATAAAAGCAAAGGAGGCGTTTTATGATAAAGTGGTCTGAATTTGATGACACGTCTGGTGCACCTCTGTCATCTCAGCTCATTTTAAAATCACTGTGTGTCACTTTCCAGCATCGGGGCATGCTAAATTGTCAGGGTTAGGGAAAAATTACAGGGCAGGGTGCAAAATGGTGCCTAGTAATAACACGCAGTGTGATATGACGTGTTACTCATATAACATTTCGGGAGTCCAGCCCAAAACGAATAAAAAGATTTAGATTTGAATCTGTGCACATCTACAGATGACGCTTTTTAGAAGCAGGAAATAAAGCTTGAACCAAATGAAGAGATGAAGGCAGAAGTCCACAGATAAATGCAGATGAACCACACAGAAAATGTGTTTTATTAGAAAATAATTAGGTAACATGTATTAAAGTCAAATAAGAAATAAAAAAATCTTTAGGTACTGATTTGAGGTATTTCAACAACTTTTATACATGTGTATAAATTGAGTACAGGGCCTGAACTACATAAAGTTATCCAAGTGAGCTTTTAATACAGAAAAGCTGAACCCATCCGAACTACGATGCATTGAATCCGATTTTTTTCTGATGTCAGATTTCAGTTGAAATCTAAACAAATGCATTCCACCTTAATCTAAATATTTAAATATAAAAACAAATGTGATCGGTTGATCACGACAGTTCGTCAATTATTTTAATCTGTGGAAAAGGGAAAGTTATCTTTCGACAGGAAGGAACCAGCAGAACCAGACTCAGGAAGGTGCGACCGTCTTCTTCAGCAGCGAATCAGGAGGATCTGCTGCAGAAACAACAAAAACACAATAGTTCAAAATTTAAAATGTTAAGTTCCTTTACCTTTTTTCCAGTTTATTTGCATCTGTAGAGACAGCGAAAACTGAACCCCAGTATTTGCTAGTTTCAATCAAACATAATTTACCACGAACAAATTTTAAGAATATATTGTCAAATCTGGCATGTTTTTTTAAAAACATACAAAGTCAAACAAATAGATGTTTGGCATGTCAGGAAGTTGAAGTTGTGAAAGTTAAGTGTAATTAAAAACTTTTGAGTCTTGAGTGAAGAATTAAAGTTTTTTTATTTGGTCCCAAGAAAATTCTCACAGTGCAAATTAAAACTTCTAAATTCTGTCTATTTACAGAACTCAAGCAACAGAAAGCCATAGTAATATTTCCCTTTCTGATCAAATGAATGCTTAAATTCCTTAAAATGAAAAATTAGTGTTAAACTTAGCACTGACCAAAATTATCCTGATTACTGAATATTCTAAATTGCTGAATTGCAAAAACTGAAACATGCCTGCAATATGGCTTGATGTTTGAGCAACTAAAGATTTCAATTGGGTGTTACAATAAAAAAAAATCTGTAAAATTAATGAAAAGACATCCTGAATATTGCAGTTCTATGTAAAGGACTCCCTGAAACAGTGTTAGCTTCTGTGTTGTTTGCCACAGTTTACTTTTTCCAGTCATTCGTCTAATTTTAGAAGCTATGATTGAAGCTTAATAGAAACAGAGTCAAGACAAAGTGAGAGAGAGGTGGAAAAAAATTACAATAGCTATGGCTTCAAGCACAGAAAACAGGTATGCAAAGGGTTTTTGTCATCATGACAAAAAACTCTGCATATTTGGATATTGTGAATACTGCAGAAAGTATAAATATATACTTTATTAACTAAAATCTTTTCACGTGAATAAAATACAAAAGAGCTGCAGCCTTTCCAACCTTTGGAAATGCCAAATAAATTCTCAACCAGCCCAGTTTAAGCTGATCATCAAATTGACCTTATTACACCACCGAAATGTAAAGAATTGATCCTTCAGAGTGGCTTCTGTGGATTAACATTAAAATAATTTAACAAACAATTTTGCATCACTATACTAGTTATTTTCATGCATTGGGGAGATAATCCCAGTTTGGTAGAGTTTTGATGAAATATGAGGAATTATGAACACTTGATCAACAAAAACTGCTGGTGATTAGTCAAAACGCTTTTCCTTGAGATGGATTGATGAGCTCCTACAAACTTTATCAGTTGTCTAACAGAATTTAAAATGGTGGTTTGTATGAAATGTTCCATCATATTTCATCTTGTTCCCAAAACTGCCCCATATAATGGGGCTAAAACCAACAAAGTACAGCTTGAAAAAAAGAAGAATGAAATGACCTGCATCCATCCATTCTAGTCACTCATTTCTGAAGTTTTTAGACGTTAGTAGACAATTTCTTCTATTTGATTGAATTGATGCTTGATAAACTCAGTTTGACATGGAGCAATGCTACTGGAGTCACACATTACCTGCCTTCAACTGTAGCTATTGGTGGAAGATGATGGGGGTGCTTGGATTAAATGCTGGACGTGGTGTCAGTGAAGGATTGGGTGACGCAGGGTTTTTACCGTGGCTCCAGGTATTGTCGTTTCTCTTGGAGCAGAAGCGTCATTGATCAGGTTGATATCTGGCAGGAGGAAATGTCTCGTTAAAGGCAAATATTTCACAAGCTTTTCTGGCGTCCAACAAAAATTGTCTCGTAAAGACTTTCCATTCTGAGTCAGATCGAAGACAGAGTCATTCTGTTTCTGAGATCCGTCTTTTGTCGGAGAGATAATAGCTTTCCAAGATCAGACAGAGTAATGTTTGTGAGATAGAAGCACAACTGGATCGTAGCTCCATTTTCTTAAAACGTATTGATTATAGTCGAGTCAGGCCAATTCCTTCGACAATCAACTGAACTGTCCTGCATCCGTCCTTGTTTCTTTAAGACAACCTACAAAAAAGAAGCAGAAGAAACGAGAGCCTCCAATAAAACTAACATTAATGGCGTTGCAATATGCAAAGTTATGCAAATTTTATGCACACTGTCAACCTACATTGTGGCCGTTCTTCACTCGTTTCAAAAGGTGCGGCTGCAATTAGATGACAGTTGATTGAAATCATGCGCGTTTTATGATCCAGTTACTTTTGTGCACTGACAGGGTGTTGTGCAATTCACTGACAGTATATTTTCACTGCACGCAGAGATTAACTGCTATTATTGACCCTGATGCAAACCAGCGGGTGATGCATTTCAGACAAACCACTCGTGATCCCGGGTGATTTGCATACGGTGTGTCATTTACCATATTCCCTTTTCTTACCTAATGATTTATGCTTTAATATAACCTGCAAAGCAATATGCGTGCCGTACCTTTACAGTGACTTAACAAGACTGAGCCGGGGAATCTGAAATGATAGTTTAAGGGCTGCAGGGAAAAAGAGAAGTCTTATCAGTTAAGACTTGCTTTGTATGTAGCCCCCCCTCCCTGCTCTCCTTGGAAGGCAGAGGTGCAGTTGATGAATTCTTAAGCAGATCTTGCTGATAATTGTATTTCATAACTGTCATACAGAGAGGGACTGTCCGCTGAGAAGCTATTTGTGTCACCACATCCCTTTCCTCCCTCTGCCTCTCTCTTTCTCCGCAGCCTCTTCAATAAAGCTCAAATCACGACAGGGATTGTTAAATCTACCTCCGAGATTATTAAATCCAAATGGAGAATTTATGGGTGACACTTCATAACAATTAATCCCAGATGCTTGATTAATAAAGTTCGCTCAAACACCTCCCCCTCCTCCTCGTTTTCCTGTCCTCCATACACATTCTCTCCTTCATCGTCGCCCTCTCCGTCACTAAAGTTGTCCTGTTTGAGTGGGATGGAGGTGGAGGAAGAGGAGGAGGAGGAGGAGGGGAGCAGACGTACGGGTAGCAGGATGGTTGTCAGGGACGACATGGGTGTCATTCTTTTTGATTAATGGAGCATTGTGACCCTGCCTCTACCCCCCCACACCCTTCCGCTCTCTTCCTCTTCGGCATGCCCACTCACCTCTGCAAAGCCCCCAAGCCAATCCCTCCTCTACCTCAACACCAGGTAAAAATAGATGTGGGCCAACTTATGTGAACCGTTTGCATTTATGCACGGTATGATCTGATGGGAAAGAAAGATGGAAACAAAGAGAAAGGACCTAAACGGAGAATTAGAAAGACGTCTGCAAAGATGGAAAACAGAAACGGCAGAGAAGAAGAGTAACAAAAAAAAAGTAGATCGGGGATGAGAAGAAATAGGCATGCTAAAGGAAAGAATGGGAATTCAGGAGAACATCACCTAGCTAACCTTCACATCATGTTAAGTCAGCTGAGATTAATTAGTTGAGTGAGTCTGAGCAATTAGGTCAGTAGTTTAAGAGTGTGTGTGTGTGTGTGTGTGTGTGTGTGTTTGGGCTGTGTGTGTGTGTGTGTGTGTTTGGGGTGTGTGAGTGTGTGTGCATTTTTTCCACTTCTGTTTCTCGCCAGATTGCTGTAGTAAAAGAGGATATATTTCCAGCAGGCTCCACATTTATTGGTAACCCTGGTAAAGATGTGTTAAAAACCTTGGAAATAAATGTATCCTTCACTGCTGCAGCAAAACCTAACAATTTTTAAAAAATATATACCTTTACTTTAAGCACATATAAAACAGTTACTGATTCCAATAGAATAGATGCAACTGAAGTTTTACTTAATGATTCACTGATTTAAACTGATTAGAGTCTGGATAAAGTCCAAATCAGTCCTATGGGGAATAAATATAACATGAGTCAGATGCCCATTTGTTTTAGTAACTCTTCAAAATGCAAAAAGACTGCACAAGGTAAGAGCTTCTTAAAACCACCAGACATATTGTGTTGCTATTATTTAGTACATTAAAAAAGTCCAAATGTAGGTCATCGGAAGTTAACGGAGACCCTTAACATTCCCATACGAGTGGGAAAACAATTTGACATGTTTCTGCCACACAAGTCGTTTATGTTTCCATAATTTTGACAATAACATAGGAAAATAGGTCGTTACTATTATTTGCACCCTTACATCTTTTAAAGGATTGTGCAAACCCTGTTTTAGGATTCCAATTCCTAATCTGTAATCTGGGCAGCACCAACACAGACTCTACCACTGCTATCAGTTAAAGTTAGCAGAAAGTGAACATCCCAACTGATGCACCACAATAAACTGATCCAAAGTGAGTTGATAACTTTCCTGAGGAGAAGTTCTGACCTTCTTCAATTTTGCTTTAGTTTTCGGTTTCACCAAATATTGAGAGTGAGCAGCTGGCTAAAATTTGGGCTGTCACTTTCTAAGCGCTCACATTGCCAGGCGTACATCAGATGCTGACTTCAGTGTTGTGCTTTCCTGAAAGAGCTGTTGTCTGATCGAAAAATACCCAGGTAGCAAAAAGCTACTTTCTCAGGATGAGATCTATTATTTGTACTTTGTTGCCTCAGTGACAAAAGACCAAAGATCATGTCGGCTTGTCAAATGTGAAAAGAGCGCGAGTTTGTGCTTCATTTTGCACTCTTTATTTAGTGTTGTCTTCCGCCATTTTTTTCTTTTCCAGAAAGATAAATAAATCATTAAGAGCTCTTCGTACAACCTGTCAACAGAAACCACTGAAAATATCTCAGTTTTGTAAAAGAAAGGACACAGTCAAGATCAAGCTTTTCACTACTTGATAATCCGTTCTTGGCACATTTACTAAAATAATTAGTTCACATCTTCATTACTTTTTTACTGCTATTAAGTGAAACAAATGTTTAATGGAGTTGTGAATAATGGAGTCCAGCCACCATGTAAATATTCTCCAGATAAATTAATGAAATATGACTTTATTAGAGAAGAACAGAGCAATTTAAAATTCTATTTGTGCCTCTCACACAAATAGAATGGAGAATAGAAAGGAAACACAAGCCCTAATTAAAGGTTTCCATATTGATGAAATCATATTGACATCTTTTTGAATTTATTGCATTGTGGATGTCTGCTGCTGTTGTATGTAGAGGGTTGGATTTCTGCTGTACAGCTCTGTACGGCTTATTAACTGGTCTAATCTGTGTAGATGACAGACATTGTGTTTAAGCAGAAAAACTCTGGAAAGATTCAAAGATTTCAGTGTGCTGAAGTCCACACCTGTATTGTACAAGTCTGTATAAATCTGCATTCACTTTCTGAACGAGAAGGACTTGCATTCTGAGGTGAAAAGTGAGATTATACTCCTGCAGTAAAATATGATATTAAGGTTTTTTTCCATCATTGTCAGTAAATGTACAGTAAATGACACTGTACTTAATGTCCTGAATTCGTAGCTCGTTGAGTGCAGAGCTTGTAAGAGTCATCTCTCTCGGCAGAGTCTGGTCTTAAGAAGGTATCACCTCATGTAGCTTTACCAACAATTAATGCGCAAACATTTCAAAGGCAGATCTCACTTATTGCTTTATCCCAACCCTTTGCAATCCAACTTCTGTGCATTCAATAATTTTTTTTTTAAATGTTGCAGCATTCATTACAAAAACTTATTGTAAAATACTGCCAGGCATCCCGAGCTGATGCTTGTTGGTGGAAAAGCAAGGACTGCTGTGTGGTGTGTTGGTGAAGATCCATTTAAAACAGTATGAGCATAAGGAACCCCCTCAGACAAATCCTTGAACTAGTAAAGGCTTACAAAAGATCATATTTAACAATGATGGCTATATATTTTCCTTTTTGCAATTAAAGAGTCCCTCTGTGTAATTTAATGCTTCTTTTCAAGTGTCGGGTCCCCCGAGACTTGGCCTGTAGCTATGCCATCGCTCTTGGTGATTATCATTAATGAATGTCGGCGAGGACCATCCCTCAATGTGACTAGAGAGGAAACACAAGCCCTAATTAAAGGTTCCTATTCATAAATATACGCCTGGAACTGCACAGATCGAGCGGCGCCCAGGCACACAAGTCATGTTAATGTCAGGAAAGCACATTTTTTTAAGAGCATTTTCTCCCCTAATGTGCAGCACACTAGCGGCTGTGACAGATTTCTGCAGTCGAAGCCCCAGTAAGGGGATCTGTGCAATTTGAGATTCGCAGATTTTCATTTAAGTATAAAGCCCAAGATTAGGATGCTCTAATTTGACACACAAGAGGACTGATGACAAAAAAAAAAAAAGATTTGACTTCTAGCTGTTTAAATGAGAATTATGATACATTTTAAGCATGTTATTCTCAGAGACTTTTGTGCAATTTCTAATGAAAAAGGTTTAACAGAGCTTCTGGAGATGAGGCATCGTGTAAGGTTTAGAAAATGAAAATGTTTAACAGGTTTACAAGATGTCACTGAAATGAAAATAATCCCAGTTGCTTGTGTTCCCTCATACGTTTGAATTTGTCATGAACACAATTTGTTGCATTTTGATGTTTAACAAAAAAAAAGGGATATTCTTGTGCAGAAAATATCATGGTAACATTGGGAATTATACTCTGCTTGACAAAAAAAAACTCAACTCAAACTTGTTAGGAAATAGAAAATATGGTGCTTGAAAGGATAAACATTTGGCTCCTTCTCTTTCATCCTAAATGGCAAAAAAAAACTGCTAATTGGAGTGCATGTGTCAGTGAAAACAAAAGCCAAGGGAGGAGGAGAGGGAAGCATGAGTGTGTATGTCAAAGAGGAAATGTGGATTTGTCATTTTGTTCAGCCCAGCAGGATTTTAGGCAAAGTTGTTCCAGAAAGCAGGAAATTTGTCTTGTAAAAGTTTGGGCTGTGGTGCGACATAGAAGAAATCATGTTTTTTGGGGGGAGGAGGAAGGAGGGTTCTATTATTTTACAATAAGAACTCCCTTATAAACCTCTTAGAAACAGTATTGACATTATTAATTAAGCTGTGATCCCTTTGTAAATCAATCAATGCTGGCATAAACGGTTAGTCACTGATGAAAACCAAACGGTTCTACAAATCTAAAAAGATAAATTCTGATTCAACCTGAAACTAATGCAATGTGACTGCATGTTACTGATTTATTAAAGCTTTTGGGTTGAATTATTACTGTATTTTTAACATTGTATTACAATAAGACTCTTAAAGGAATGTATAAATAGTTAATAGTATTATAACAATTAGTTAATAATATTAATATTAACCCATAAGGCACAGTTGACATAGTAATGCAGACCCATGACACTATTCCAATCTTTTACTAATATACTGAAACCACTCATTACTGAATGGACTCTTTCCAGTGTTGACACTTCATTTTTTGTAAAATATTACAATTAGACTCTCCTTAAAATGATTTAAGAAAGTCATCATCCTGATATTCAAGATGTAAAGCCTTTATAAATCATCAATACTTATTTGAAAGTCAGCAAGGAGTCACTCAAACTATTCATCCATTCGTCACCTTCTGCTTATCCAAGATGGAGTCATGGGGTAAGAGGAGGGAAACCCAAATATCCCCAGTGATATTCCAGCTCATTGTTGTTACGCCTTTTAGTCATCATCAAACAATCTTCCAGTAGTTCCTTAAGGAAAACTGAAAGCCCTTTCTCATTGCCATGAATGTCTCCCATGCCCCAGATTTTGCTTTTGTAACCACAGAAGTTGCATTCCGTCAGCCTCTCCTGCCACCTGATTCAACTCACTGCTGGTGTTGGATCCAGTGGTGTGTTGTACATCTTTTCCTCTCTCTCTCTTCATCCAGGTGTTCAAGACACGACACAGAAGATTTGCTTACTCAGTTACAGGCTTGTTCATTGACTTTGACCAAGCAGCTCAATACCAGAAGCACATCTGAACAAACCTTGTTCTAGAACTAGGTGTTCATTATGGACGTCTAGAAGTCCAATAGGAAAATACAGCTCGGATATAGATAAGGGAAGCTATCGCTCCCAATCACACCACTCTAAGTAACGCTATCATGCCCCATATGAGCAATGAAGTCCCCAAGGACCACCACAGAATCCCCACATGGCACCCAATCCCCACAAACCATCCAAACATGAAAAGAAGCAGAGCAACCTAAATTGCTGTTTGGTGCAAAAAGCCCAGGAAACAGTCGAATTCAACATAAAGGTACGAACAGGTGACCGTTTCGATCACAAATGCGCTCAATTTGTGAATATCTCCATACCTGCCTCTTTACAGAGCAATTTCACTACCAGTTTATTATTCATTTATAAGGACAAGCTATTTTTTTCTGCCTCATCTAAATGTATTGCTAAAAAACTAAAGTTAATTTTTTCCATGTTTTTGTCTCTGGGAGTTTTGAATCTTTTGATAAACTTGTATCTGTCACTATAGAGCTGCACTTATTCACATCCTTTCATCTAAACTGGCAGGAAAGAAAAAAGCTTGGTTAGAAAGAAAAAAAAACTTTAGTGGGGGGGAATACAAACCTTTAATTGCATTGTCAAAACCCCACAGACACATCGTCCCAAGTCACATTTAACAAGTAAATCTCTAGAAAATATTTTTTAAAAACTTCTTTTCTTTCTCTTGGTCTCCATACTCGCAGCATATGGCACTTTAATTACGCAGCCTTATCTCGTAGATGTGGAGATAGAGCTCATGTCAAAGTTAGAGCCTATTCTTTATTAATTTCTTAGTGTATATTCCCATAATCAGCCTGTCAATGGATGAAATCTGATAGAACCCATCGCTGAATCAAGATCACTCAAGATTAGAAAGAGAGGTTTTCTCATAGGATGCGAAAGGAGCTCACAAAGTTTCTTGTGAAGGGTTTTTGAGTGTGTTTAACCTCTGAGTTTCTTTGAAAGGAAATCTGTGGTGCCGTATTTGATGATGCATGCGAAAATAGCCAGGAGGATTCCAAATCAGAGAGTTAGTGCAGCAAAATGCTTGGGTGATTAGCCACAGGCTAACATGTCTGACTCCGGATAAATTAGTCATTAACAGTAAGAGGAAGGCATTAAATAGTTTCTTTCTGTTTGATGTTACTTAAGTGTAATTTCCTGTAACGCATCCAAAAATGCATATATTTTGTAGCTAATAACATGACAGATTTGTTTGCAAAATCTGTTTCCTTAAACCACTGAAAAGGGTTTTTGACTCATTAGCTGCTGTCAAACACAAATTAAATCAGCTGCGGTGTTTCACTGTGTAGTGTTTGAATAAAAAGAAAAGGGAGGGATCGTCGAAGCGCGATAGTGTACAGCATTTGATGAAAACTACAGGATAAAGGAATGCAAAATAGTTGCAAGGATGATGAAAAGGTACCAAAGATAAAGAAACTGAAGAGGGAGAAGTTTGAAACATTTCTTTTTGTCTTCATTTGAATTGTGTTTTTCGGCGTCAGAAGCAAAGCACAATGGCAAATGTGAGGATTCAAAAAAAAAAGGTGAATGCACAACATCAAGGCACAAACATGTTGGCTTTATTCTTTCACTTTAAATGCTCGTTAGGCTTTACAAAGATATTTGTGTGTGTGTGTTAGATGGTTAAACAAAAAGGAAGAAACTGAATTCAAGAAAAAAAAAACAGCTCCACACTTGTCAAAAGAATAATTTGATTTTTATGTATTTATCTTTTAATCACAGGTTTGCTCTAATTACATATCAGAGTGAGAAGAAGCGCATCTACAAGTAGAAATGTGACAGTATCCACTTTTTCTTTTCTCACCTGATTCGACATCCTGCATGCAGGACTTCTCTGCAGTGCGTCTTCTCCTTTGCATGATTGTGTCAGAGCTGCGAAGACAGAGGACAGAAACAAAACAGGTTCCGCTTTAATGTATGTGGATATATACATGACGAGGACACGCATGTTCTTGCCCGCTCTAAGAGGACTGGGGGTAGACGGGGGGCTCCGTGTCAACATGCTGTCACCGTGCCACTGTGGTTACATAGAAGGGGGGATAGGGGAGTCTTCATGTGTAAAAGCAGAGGGTGACGGGAAACAACCGGAACGACTGTTCGCGGATTGTGTTTGGCTTTTGTGTCGGTCAACATGTGGACACGGCCGGGTGAATTTAAAGGTAGTGTGTGCTTTACACACATCGCACTCAACATGCTAAATGTTTAGCTGTGGAGAGTGTGAGTGTGTTTCTGATGCAGAGGACTGTGAAAATGTAAGCTTCAAGGACAGAAAAACTGTGATTATAATTACAGCATGCTCCACAATTATTGTCTTAAAGGCTCTCTTCTTTACTGCTACGGTTATTTTAAATTTTTCAAAACATTTGTGATTTATAAAAATGTGGATATTGGCAAGTTTAGTCCAGAAGGCAAATCAGCAGACATTTGTCTTGAATGCTCTCCTGTCTTTTCCATTTTGAAGACAGTCTAGTGTATTAATATTTGTCATTTTCAGAACTTAGCAAACTAATTAAGTTTTTGAAGACACTTTGTTCAACATTTAAAAAAGAAAAAAAAGCTATGTACAAATTAAAAACATGGTTTAGTTAAACTTGTTTTGAAAGGAAGATTAGTGCTGAAAATAATTGTAGCCTATTTTGAGTTTTTGTATAACCATTTTTTTTTTCTCAGTGAGAAATTGATCTCCCGTTGATTCAATGTACTTAAATTGAAAGTAGGATTATTCCCAAAAAAATTTCAGTGTGAATTTATGCTACTGCAATAAAAGTTGCATTTATGTTAAGGCTTTTTATGCATTTTCCTCAGGATGCCAATCAGTGCCAGGCAACGCACTGTAAATACAAAGTGCATTACAGCAAACTGCACACAGATTAAGAACTTTAGAGAACCTTTCTATTAAGAATACATCCTAAGGATGAACAAATTAGAGGTAAATAGCTGTGGCCCAACCAAACTCCACTTCCCCACACACACACACACACACACGCACACACGCACACACACACTCTCACAACCAACTATTGGCCTCAGATCATTTTCAACACAGTTTGTACTTTCTACTCCGTACAAACTTGTACTGTGAGGATGATCAAATGTCATTTGCAATTTGTAATTCCCGTTACTACTTAATAGATTTTGCAGAGCAAGCAAGTTTGCAAATTAACACTGAAAGGTAAAATATTAGCTGTGCAGCTGTCCTTTATTACACGCATAAAATGAATGCTCTTTTACTTTGCGCGGTAATCCCTGTTACTGGAAGCGCAGCAGAGCTCAGTTTCCTGACTTTAAATTAGAAAGCGTGTGATCCAAGATCCGATTAAACACAGAGCGCTGCTTTTCAGGAAAACGCGCGCCTGAGCGTCGGCTAAACCCCGAACATGATCTGATCCCGCAGTTCCTTCTGCACACTTTTGATGGAAACATCGGTGACGTAGGTCGGCTTCATCAATCAGCGCGCAGGCCCCCTTTTGACAGACACACGTTGGGGCGGTACTCCTCCGTTTCTTTTCCCTGCCACAGTGCGAGCTGCGTTGGTCATGTTCCTGTGCGCGCCGCGAATCCGGGGACGCGGCTCAGACGCGGACGGACAGCGGCCAGCAAAATAAAAACAAAAGTCTGCCGAGGGGAACAAAAACAGAAACTCACCAGAATTAGAACTGGCCAAAGTTTTGACTCCATTTCTGTAAGATTGGAATCCATGAAGCTGGAGGAAAGCAAAAATAATAACAAAAAAAAAAAAAGAGACAATCCGGTGCGTGATGCGCACAGCGCTAGATTTTATGCCATCCAAGTGATTATTTAAAGCGAAAATAATCTGATCTCCCCTCTACTTTTTCCTCTCCCTCTTAACCACCCTCACGTCGCCTCATTTGAAACAACATATTACGGCTCAAGTTGGGGGCTCTTTATAAACACTTTATGGTAGATAATAGTTTGGACGGAGAGGAGGCTATTAATGGAGTCTCCAGTGGCTCCAGAGCCCCTCCCCTTAACCAGAAGCCTCGCTAAAAAGGTGTAACGAATCGATCTGCAGCCTCCTTTGTCCCAGTAAAGAGGTCACTGAAAATATGCACAATGTTTTCTTTTTCTTTCGTTATCTTTTTTTTTCTTCTTCTTTTTTTAACTGTGATGCAGAGCAGCTCTGAGGGAACTCTTAAAACTTGTGGGAAAAAGAGACAAAGTGATTTGGGAATTTTAAGAAAATGCTTTACAAAAAAAGCTTTATAGTTAAAAGCAAGCAAGTGTGTCAGATCTGTGATCTCATTAATCACCCAGATCTATTAGTTTAAAAATAGCCAATTGCTAGCAACAAATAATGGGTTAAATTAAGTTTTACACTGTAAAACATGTTTCTTTGAGGTTATTGAATTCTAGTCAATAAAACTATTCCAAATCAAATCAAGCAGGTAGGTTTTAAAACTGCTTGGTAATGAGTGAAATCTTAGACACAGCTTATATTTTCCTTAGAAATGTTTACAATTTACAGCAACAACAACAACAAAAAAAAGTTGGATGAGTTGGATTTTAAATCAACATCAACTTCGTGAAAAGCAGTGGCTGGTAATGAAACTTGTTGGGAAAGCTGCTTTGTTTCAGCAAGAAATTAAGTTTGTGTACTTTAACTAGATTTTGCAGCAATTCTCCCCAAGCATGTGGTGCGAGTGGAAAGGAACCATCTCCTTTCAACCAGATGGATATTCCACCAGAACCAGGGTCAGTATGAATGATCAGCGGCTGACAAGACAAGAAGCAACCCAGAAAAATCAGATGTGCTGAAAAGGAAGTATCCTTTTGTTAAAGACGAGGAGAATACAGAGTTTATTGCAGTAATCGTGAGGGACTTTTAAAAAGTGGTTGCCGTGTAACTATTAGTCATTTTCTTATTAACTAAGAATATGACTACAAGTTATATGCCAACTAATTAGCTGATAAACTTACACATAACTTCTATTTCAAAATTGACAAAAATCTCAGCAAATAAATTGTTTATACCGACATCATTGGAGAAATTATTTGATTTGATTTATTAGAGTTTCATTTGTAGTCATAAATTAGTCAAATGTCAAGTGATGTATTTAAGATAAAAACAGGAGACAAAAAAAAACCTGGATTGTACCTCAACTTTGGGGGAAGGATGTTAAAAAATGCATTGAACAACAATAGTTACTAGAAATGAGATGCTATTACAACAATTCAAACGAGCACAGATTAAGAGTCCTAATGAAAGGCAGGATGGAAAAAAGTAGAATTAAACATTAAAACCTACTTATGATTCAGGCAACTTGTGTAAAAGTAATCTGATCACAACAGAAAACTTGAAATAATTACAATTAAACGTGTTTGTACCTATACATGTAGGCTATAGGTTCTTATGAATAACTAACATTCCTCTCATAATAAGATAGTAGCACAAACTGACAAGGAAACAAACTTTTCTGTTTTTTTTTTTCTTTTGCTGTTTTTGTTTTTCTCATTCTTTTGTCTGAGCGCGGGTTCCAGTGCGCGCACGTCAGGGACGCACCTCTCCTCAACCCCTGCTCAGGAAAAAGGAGAGCCATCCCTCCTTGCAATAATTAGAGTTGCAGATTGACAGGTGGGCTCTGACTGTCAGGGTGACGCTTGTCGGAGGGGTGGAGTAAAAGAAGGAGAAGGGGCCCGGAAAGGCAGCTGGATGTGTCTTGTCTGTCAGTAGCAGCCGTCTGAAGGCGATGTGCGCACATTTTTCTTCCCCTCTCTGCGTGCGGGAGACTCTTCAGGGGGGTGTTGGTGGTGGTGGTGGTGGTGGTGGGGACGACGACGGTCCTTGTTGTTACTTTTCAGTCGAAGTGCGTTAGATGTAATAAAACAACAGGAAGCAACAAGAAGAGCAGGCCCGCTTATTTCCCGACGAGTTTCTGAGAAATTCCAAGTGTCCGTGTTTTGACAATCGGTCGGTGTTAATGTGAGTATTTCATTATCCAGGTGGGGGCGGGAGTGAGGAGAGGGGAGGGAGGCTGGGGAGGAGGGGGGTGAAGGAGTGGAGGGGGGGGCACTCTCAACACTCGCGTTTGACTGACTGACATATACACCCCTGTCCGCTTTAAGCGTGTCACTCTTCTTTTTTTTCCTTCCTCGCTGATCTCCTTTCCCGATTTTCGTCTTCGCAGCGGAGCTTTGGAGGCGCGCGCGCGCGGAGCTGCGGCCGGAACCTGGCCGGGACCGGAGAGACACGAGACACGAGAAGACGCCGCGCCGCGCCGCCCGCGCCGCGCCAGACCCCGCACTTCGGACTCCGCTCCTCCGTCGAGGCGACACAATGTGCTCCGTCATCGGAGCAGCACCGTAGTCCGAGTCCCGCGGCGGGAGCGCGTTTTATTCGGATGGAAACGCGGCTGATCTGAGATCTGCACCGAGCTCTTTCCAACCACATCAGCCCTTCCTGGAGTTTTTTTTTTCTTTCCCCCTCCTGATCGGACGAAGTTAACGATTCCTACTCAAAATCGCCTGCATACGTCATAAAGAATAAAGAAAGAGACGTAAAGATTTAGAAACTATTCGCCCTACGTGGGGATCTACACTTTTAAATTATACCACCTTCGTTCGCTTCCAGCTTTGTCCGCTGTTTTGATCTCTGCATGAACAGTCAATCGGAAAATCCCGCAGCAGCATGCCGAGGAGAAAGCAGCAAGCACCGCGGCGGTCAGCAGGTAAGCGCCCAGCTCTGCAAACACACAGACACGCACACACACACACGCACACGCACACACCCTGAAATCCACACGGAGAGTTTTCTTCACGGCACCTTATGCAAAAACTTCTACAACAATTTTCTGTACTGAACTTTATAACTCAGAACCTCCCAATTCACGCAGTGAACTTTTCTGGTTCAAGTTCTAATATATGAATATATGTATATGTTTTTTTTTTCAATTTATTTATTTATTTTAACCGCAGCGTTGCTTGATGTGAAAAGGAAAGAATGAAAAGTTGCATGTTTCCAGCTTGTGTTCCGCTCTGGGATTGCCATCCTTGATTTGATGCTTGATTGATCGCCTGTCATGCAACTTGCCTTTGATCTATTCATTCCTGATAAACATCAGTAAATCATTCGCCACGCGGAGACACGCATGCGTTAGGCTCTCTGTGGATTAAGAAAAAAAAAAGGCGTTTTGAGTGTGAGGAGGGGGCAACTTTTTAACCTTCCCCTTGAGGAACAAAAAAAAAAAAAAGACAAATTGGAAAAGGAAAAAAAAAGTTCTCATGTGGGATAAACAGTTGACGATTAAACATCCATAGGGGAGGTGGAGAGGGGAGACAAGGGGAGGGGGTGAGGGTGCTGGGGCGTAGCGAGATCACAGGGAGATGATCCTCAGACGCTGCAGGGTCACTCCAATGTCTTCAACTGACCTCTAGAAAAAAAAAGAGACTGCAAAAAAATAAAAAAGTGCATTTCATGTCCAGTAGGAAACATCAAATTCCAGAGTAACAACACGTGAAATCCTTCAAGTTCAAGATGGAAAATGTTACAGACAAAAGGGAGAATCATGCTGATTCGCTCAGTTTATTTATTTATATTTTTATTCTAATTGCATTACGTGATTTCATACTAAGCTAATAGCTACACAGTTACAAATGTTTGGTTCCAGTGTGTCACGAGACGACCCCCTCTTCCCAGACAGATTGACTGACATGCGTTTCCAGAACGACCAGAGAGAGCGCGGCGCTTTGAAGTTTCACGCAGTAATGACCAAAGCTGAATAAAACAGCTGCAGAATGTTAAGCAGCTGTAGGCGGTGGAAATGTGAGGTTAAGCAGACTTAATCAAGGTTGTGACGGAGCAGACTTTGAACTCTGCGTGGCTGTAGTCTCTAATTGAGCAAAGCTTTGCGGATGGATGGATGGATGGATGGATGGATGGATGGATGGATGGATGGATGGATGGATGGATGGATGGATGGATGGATGGATGGATGGATGGATGGATGGATGGATGGATGGATGGATGGATGGATGGATGGATGGATGGATGGATGCATGGATGGATGGATGGATGGATGGATGGATGGAGAACAAGGGGGGAAGTATTTAGGTTTCCTGTGCATTTTCCAGTCTCTTTAATCTGAGGTGGCCTCATTTTGGGTTTAGCTTTTTATAATGTGATCATATTTTTTCTTTATCCCGTCTTAGCATGCTCTGGACTCACGTTTTGGACAATCCCATAAAGTTCTGGGCTAAAAGTTAACATTTTAGCTCAGCTTTGTCATGAATACTGAATGTTGCATATGCACCTCAGCAAGCGAGAGAGCTTCTCAATAGGCCTTTGTATGCCATTTCAAATGGGCTCTGTTTCATCAGTCACAGTGATGATTTTTTTTTTTTTTAGACCCGTAATGGCGCTGCACCCTATCTGTTTTATGACCAGTGACAATACATCAGTGTTCTCTCATTTGGAACCGCATTACTGCATCTGTTAGTTTTGGCGGATGGATGCTGAGCCCTGCAATCTGAGCTGCAGAGACTTTTTTTTGTTCTATTGCTGCAGTCATTTGTTGTCATTTCCAGGAGGTTTTGTCTTTCTCTCTCTCTTTTTTTTTTTTTTTTTTTGTGTTCTAAGGTCGATTAGTGACATAAACGGTGCAATGATGATCTGTAACATGACACAACTCGAGATCACAATCTTGATGTAAAAATCAAATCTGGGTTTCCTATCATCCAGTCAACTTAGTTCTAAACCGATTTTAAGGGTGAAATGACATTAACATTTCACCAATTCAGTACCTGTTTACAATGATATTACTCTGCCTCCTGCTGAGTAGATTAGTCTCCTAAATGCTTCTTTATGCTATGATCTCATGTGTTTTTCTCTTACGATGTTTAAAGTTGCATCATTGACTCAGGAAAAAAATATATCCAGCAGACTTTAAAACT